ATATTGGTTATAAATGTACATATATACATGCATATTTATATTAATTTATATATATTATACACACACACGCACACACACACATATATATATATATATATATGTGTGTGTGTGTGTGCATATATATATATATGTGTGTGTGTGTGTGGTGGGTGATGTTGTGTGCGAGTGAGAGAGAGAGTTTGTACACTTACACGTACACGTGTGTGTGTATGTATGTGTGTTTTCAAGTGTGTATGCGTCATGTGTACACGTGTGCGTGTGTGTGTACATACACGTGTACACGTTATTTTGTATGTATGTGTGCGTTTGTGTGTGTATACGTCTGCATTTGTGTGTTTATGTACATAGAAATATATTAATTCCCAAATGAATACATAAGCTGTGTAAAGTAGATGGATAATTTTTCAAATACAAAAATTGAATAACTAGGCATTCACTAACTTGGCTACAGCCGAGAGTATACTATGATATACCCCTAGTCGACACCAACCGTTTATAAGTCGTTGTCTCTACTACATTGCAATCAACCCGGGTGTGCTGCAATTCATCTTCAACTGCAACAATAAGAATTCATCAACCGTGGAGAGGGGAATAATAAACAGCTCAGTTAATACATACCTGACATTCGCGGCTGCAAAAATACCGTAGTGCGCAGAGACAGGTGCTTACGGAAGGCTTTCCGCAGTTAATACACGGGGGAGTAATTTGGTCTGTTTCTTTCTCCATGGTTTTGAAGTCGTCAGACATGCTTCTGCCGTTCTCAGTTATATGCCTATTCCAGCGATTCTTATTGGCTTACTAGTGCGATGTAACAGTCGATGCGAATTGTGCGCGAGTCTGTATCCGGTCCTGTGCAATACATCATTATTAGTATTGATCAGCTCCACCACCTTAAAAATTCTTCAGTGTCCTCAATTCAGCGTATACGTTGAACGTAGTCGATATTATTTTAAACGTTATCAATACAGTACATATCTGTAGTAAAAAACAAACCGTACCGGACGAACCTGAAGTAATCGCTTATTTGACGTAAATGTATTTTTAAACAGTCTTTTTATACTTCCCACATGAAACGTATTGCATGTTCTTTTTCTCTTGTGTCAGTTGTGCGGTATGTATCGAGGTTAACAAGGGTTGACAACAAAAATATTAGGCTTTTTCAACCCGGAGCGTACACCTGATATATTTTTTATTAGTAGTACCGAACAACCTCAGCAGTCTTATCGGCCCTTATAAATGAAATATAGATAAAAATATATGTACCCGTACACGTAGGTTAGCTACAATATACAGTTTCTTTCCTTATACACACTGTAGCAATAGCTTCCACCGACCTCTATCAATAAAAGATGAGTTCACCTCCTCGTATTTCACGCTCTGCGAGCAATACGCAATTTAAAACCCCAGATTCTGTCCAATGTTTGTGTATGTGTTTTAGTGATGCACAATGCATTTTAGAGATTGACCTGCGCACTATCTCCATATCCTTGGAATCGACATACACTCCCTGGCCTTATCGATAGAACCAATACACACACCTTATCCATAACTCTGGGATTGATACATGGCTCCACCAGGCATTACTATACCAAGCAAGAGTGTTCCACTTAAACGGCGGCTCTGGATTAGAAAGCTACGACCAGATTTGAAAAAGGTTGACAGATGGTTTGACCACCCTATGCGATTAGTAGTGAACGCAAAGCACTTCTCCTTTAAAGACCATATATGGAAGCATTCACGTTTGCATCCTGATCCTGATGCATTACTCAACCCAACGTTGATGTGGCGTAATAATAGTATGCTATATTATCGACCTAACTATCAAAAGGCACGGCTACAATTCATATGTACTTAGCCTGATGAAGTATGTGGAGAAGACTTGACGTATGAAGTATTGAGTCTACCTGGTAACAAGAAGATCAGAGACGTATGGCTGAAGATACTTGTACGTGATTCAAGTAAGTTATCTAAGATTATAGAAGCGAATAGTGAAGAGGCAGTAACTAGTAGTGGTAGTTCTACAGACGGCAACATGTCTACAGACGGATGTGCATCCACAGACAGTAGTACATCCACGAATAGCGCTTCAAAGAAGAAAAAGAAGCGAATTCGATTCAAGGTCGCTCACCATCACTTTCGTACTGACCAAATTTTAATTACAAAAGATGGCCGCAAACGGGTTAAATTGGAGAGCTTCCAACATTTACACCCATAGATAACAGTAATAAAGTCAGTACCAGGCCTACGCTAGATGAGCGACGAGATACGTCTACTATAAGATCATAAGTCTCTAATAGTTCAGCAGATAGAACTCCCATGTCTACACTGTTCGCAAACATGTTTCGGACTATGTAACACCGATACTTAAAGATCGTCTTAAAAGGAATAGACAGAACACGCATACAGCAGACAGTATACCAAGTGGAAGGCGCACACACAGCGACGGATATTTATCTTAGAAATTTAGCCAACGATAAATTGCTGTGTAATGCTGTCACCGGTGAACCGTCCTTAGAGTGCGTGCGCAAACTTTACGCACATTGGGATTCTGTTATCATCTTTAGCAACATGCGGCATTATAGTCCACGAGAGCGTACGCAGTTAGCAAAAGTATACTTTCCAGAAGAGGCAGCCACTGACACATCAACAGAAGAATATGTTTAAGTCAAAATGAAAGATTATAAGTTTCATGCGGCTCAGTTCAAGCTCACACTATTTTCAGCAGTTTGTATTGTGGCTGGCAATGCTAAGATACACACACGTTTTAATACTGCGAATGCGCAGACACACTTTGGAGTAGGAAGACGTCGGCAAAGAACAACTATATTACATGGACGTTTGCTATTGCAGCCATAGTAAGG